GGGTTCGTGTTCGTACACGAACACGAACCCAAGCAAGTTACAGTTCGCAGTACTCCCGCACTGTTCTCACGACCTCATTTTAGGCTGGGATTTTCTCTCCGATCCCCAAGCCGTCATTGATTGCGCTCGTGCTGAAGTCATTTTTTGGTCCCTTGGTGATGCCCTACCTGCGGACGATCACCCTTCCTACGCGAAGTTGGTCATTAGAGACGACACCGAGATCCCTCCGCGCGCTACTGTCTTCACACCTGTGTCGTGTTTCGTCGTCGTCGACGCTACCGCATTCTTCACACCTTCCTCTGCTTTCGTTCATCGCCACCTATCACCGCCCCGAACCACTCTCGTTACTCTTCAAGGTGGTGGGACCGACGTGCCTGTGGGGAATCCGTTCCCATTCACGATTACGCTGCTTCGGGGCAAATGTATTGGCTCAATCGAATCATTCGAAATCATCACTACACTTATGTTCCTGATCTATCATTGGAAGCCAGCGCCCCCTCCTGTAGTTCCGGGAATGGCCCTTAAACTGCCGACATTTTCAACAGTGTCATCGACGAAGGCCTAAACCCACAACAGAGGTGTGAGCTTTTGAACCTTCTTGACAAGTTTCGGCCATTTTTTGACAGTAGCAGCGCTACCTTAGGTCAAACATCTACTGTATGCCACCAGATCGACACAGGTAGTCACCCACCACTACGGCAGCGACCGTACCGTGTTTCACGGACTGAACGCCGTGTCATCGAGGAACAAGTAGGTGACATGCTAAAGCGCGGCGTCGTTCAACTATCAAACAGTTCTTGGGCGTCGCCGGTTATTTTAGTTAAAAAGAAGGATGGCACAATACGTTTTTGCGTAGATTAACGTCGCCTAAACAAAATAACACGAAAGGATGTTTATCCTTTGCCTCGGATCGATGACGCCCTCGACTCTTTACAAGGCGCAGAGTTCTTTTCCTCCCTTGATCTACGCTCTGGGTATTGGCAAGTGCCCATGAATCCGGATGATGGACCAAAAGCTGCCTTTGTTACACCAGACGGCTTATACGAATTTAACGTGATGCCATTCGGCCTATGCAATGCGGCAGCAACATTTAAGCGCATGATGGACACTATCCTACGAGGCCTCAAATGGAACACGTGTTTGTGCTACTTAGATGATGTGGTGGTGTTCTTGCCCGATTTTCCCACGCACCTTCGTCGCTTGGAACAGGTTCTACGCTGCCTTTCTGCAGCAGGCCTCCAACTAAACTTGAAGAAGTGTCACTTTGGAGCACGCAAGCTGACCATTCTCGGACACGTCGTGTCGAAGGATGGCGTTCTCCCTGACCCCGCTAAGCTACGTGCTGTTAGCGAGTACCTGAGGCCCGCGTCTCTCAAGGAGCTGCGTAGTTTCATTGGGCTTTGCTCATACTTCCGCTGCTTCGTCCGGGATTTCGCCTCGATCATGGCACCTCTGACAGACCTACTTCAGGGAGACTGCAATCTATGTGCGTGGTCTCCAGCCTGTGACAGTGCCTTTGCGAAGCTTTGTGAACTGCTTACATCACCATCCATACTGCGACATTTTGGTTCAAGCGCTCCCACGGAAATCCACACGGATGCTAGCGGTGTCGGTCTTGGCGCTGTACTCGCCCAACGAAAGCCTGGTTACCAAGAATATGTTGTTGCGTACGCGAGCCGCACTCTTACAAGAACAGAAGCAAATTATTCGGTAACTGAGAAAGAATGCCTAGGGATCATCTGGGCCATTACGAAATTTCGGCCTTATCTGTACGGCCGCCCTTTCGACGTCGTTACCAATCACCACGCGCTCTGCTGGTTATCCTCCCTCAAGGATCCCTCCTGACGCTTGGCACGATGGGCTTTACGGCTCCAAGAGTACGACATCCGTGTCATTTATCGCTCAGGCCAAAAGCATGCCGATGCCGATGCTCTTTCGCGTTCGCCCGTTTCTACTGATATTGCGAGTGTCTCCACCCAAGACAACTTACTTCCACTATCAGGACCCATTGACATGGCTGCGGAGCAGCGCAAAGATTCGTGGATTGTGTCTCAGGTGGATTACTTATCTGAAACACTCGCCCACCCGCCATCTCGAACGCTACACCGACAAGCCTCCCACTTCGCCATCCGTGATGGAATACTTTATCACCGCAACTACCACCCTGACGGCCGCAAGTGGCTACTCGTCATACCCAGGCATCTCCGTGCCAGCATATGTGCTGCTTTTCATGCCGATCCACAGTGTGCACACGCCGGTTTGTTTAGAACCTACGCCAGGCTACGTTTTCGGTTTCATTGGCGCGGCATGTACACATTCGTTCAAAAGTACGTTCGATCTTGCACAGAGTGCCAACGCCGCAAGCACAATCCTAGCCGTCCTACTGCACTAATGCAGCCGTTACAGTGCCCAATGCGACCATTCGACCGGGTTGGAATAGACCTTTATGGTCCTCTGCCATATACATCACCTGGGAATCGCTGGATTATTGTAGCGATTGACCATCTCATGAGATATACAGAAACGGCCACTCTACCAGTCGCGACAGCACGTGGCATTGCGTCTTTCCTGCTCCAACGTTTTGTTCTTCGTTACGGCGCTCCGCGTGAGCTTTTGAGTGACCGAGGCCACGTCTTTCTCGTGGATGTAATTCAAGAACTTCTTGCTGAATGCCATGTGGTTCACCGCTGTACTACTGCATATCGTCCACAAACGAACGGCTTGACAGAACGTTTCAATCGCACTCTTGGTGACATGCTTTCTATGTATGTCGTCTCCGACCACACCAATCGGGATCTTATCCTTCCCTACGTAACGTACGCTTACAACACGGCGCCTCAAGCAACGACCTGCTTTTCTCCCTTCTTTTTACTTTATGGTCGAGAGCCATCATCTCCAATCGACACCATTCTCCCCTACCGACCCGACTCATCCGAAGGCACACCAGTTTCCGAAGCCGCTCGATATGCGAAAGAATGTCGGCAATTAGCTCGCACCCTTACAACACAAGAGCAAAGGCTACAGAAATTTCGTCACGACAATGGACGGTCCCACTACCAGTTTTCACCCAACTCTCTTGTTTGGCTGTGGGTGCCTCCCACTGCTGCTCCTGGTACCTCTACAAAGTTCGTCAGCAGGTACCACGGGCCTTATCGCGTCATACAGCGAACTTCCGCTGTCAACTACCTCATCGAACCCCTCACGCCCACTCCGGACCTGCGTCGTCGAGGCCGCGAAATCGTACACGTGGATCGTCTCAAACCGTATCACGAACCACTTGTCCTCGCGACACCTTAGAACACCTACTTGGCTCCGTCTTCAGCGAGGGTGAAATATGTAATGAAGAAGTAGTGGATCATGCATAGCTCAGAAAACACATCATCAGTGCTAAGCACGAGACGCTCGCCCGGACATTGTCGCTGCTTTCGCTGGCTAGGCCTACGCTCCTACCTCGTCTGAAATAACAGTTCTGACTGTCTCAATTCTTTATTATAGAGTAGTTTTCAAACAACTGTTTTTACATTATTGCCACGCACGTTTTTCGCTTTACTTTAACATATTCGGCTTTCACCCCATGAACACTGTTAGTAGCACTTTGTGCACATTGCACCGCAACCTTTGCGAAGATTCACAATTATTTCAGATCGTTATGTTAAGATTATGTGCACAACGTGAATAGCGAAGTTTATTCAAGAGCTTATGTGAGCACCAGCGATAACACTCGAAAGTTTTATGGCTACTGTGTAAACGAGGACACGTTCTACCGATGATCAGATTATAGATGGCCTACACTCTGTCAGGCACTATCAGTGACTGTCAGCATGTCAGAAAAAAAAAAAAAACATCCTGAAAAAGAAGTTAATTAGCATAAGGATGTGTGATGTATTATCTGTCACCTTTGTGTTGGTAACAGTGGAATTAAAACAGTTCTAGTTTGGATCTCTTCAGGAATGTAACCGTTGGATATGTCGCGTGGATCTTCTACTTTTTTCACTAAATCAGTGACGAGCAAAATGTTTAAATTACCCTTCATCACCGCCCTACTACCCTGCACTGGCCAAAAATTTTTAAAAATACTTTACAAGTAGGGTAATTACCCTTCAGTTAGTAGCCCTGCCTCGTAAGTCTTTCTTATACTCTTTTAAAGTTGCATATATAAATGTGCAGAGAGTGTTTTGAGGCAGTACAGATAAAATTGAACCATAACTTCGCCATGTTATCAGGAGAAGAGCTCCACCATGAACATACTATACCCTCCTAATTTGTCTCAACTGCCATCCTCAAAGTATGTTATTTCCTTGCCTTCAACCGTGCCATTACTGTGGGGTTGCATGAATCACGTTTATGTCATGAGCCACCAGCCTAATTTCTTTTCTGTTCCTCTTGCGGTCTCATAGCACAGGTGTTATAGACTGATGTGATGCGACAAATGCAATGCAACGCAACATACGCATTGTCTGAACAGGAATGTCTCAGGCAGGCCTGCCGACGTTTTGATAGGTAGACCTATCTTCGTCAAAGGTGCCTTGTCATCTTTGGCATGTTAGTCCCAAAAGATTATCATGTCGTGTCACTTTAGGCACTTGTCACATGCAATAGTGTGTGAAGTTACAGGCAGTTTTCTTTACATTGAGGTATTAGCGTGCGTGACCTAGGCTGCAGACTGCAAATAAAGCACTCGTGAGAGAAATAGAGCACAATAGTTCATCTGACATTTCAGCTGCTTTAGTTCTTAGCAGCTTTTCCAAACTTCTTGGATGTGATTGCCGCCACATGACCTATGTACCACATTTGTCTGTTTGGAGTGTTCATACCCGATGAAGACCCCTCCCCCCCAAAAAGTAAGGATAACTGTATCGAATGAGGTGTAGAACTGATTCGATCCGACCAGTAAACCTATGCGGACAAGTTGAAGTCATAATAAATATCAGAGGCATGAAATGCGATTGCATTCCAAGGAAAATCACTTCTGAATACTAGTCTCTGTTGCTTCTTTCCAGAATCTACTTGGGAGAAGCCAGAGTGTGATTATGTCCCATTTTCCAACCAGCAAGAACCGTCCAGTGAGAGTGCACCACCAGAGGTATGCATTCTTTAACTCTTTCGTTACCACGCCTATTCATATCAATCACCGGTGATAGAGGCTTTGAATTTTCAATTTTAGCACATTGAATTTGTTTCTCATGCGCCCAGAACTTCCTGGTAGTTATTCAGGCGACTGAACTTTCGGAATCGGTTTGAATTGTGCCGTTTTGGCAACGTAGCGATTTTTGACAGACCTTTAAGCAAACCAGTGCGCGTCTGTTGGGAAAATGTGCTTGGCTTGCAGACTTGGCCGAACTGTGCGCCGCTTGTGGTTATGCTACAGTAACATCGCAGTTCTGTAATAATCGCAGTTCTCTGGTTACAGAACATCGCAGTTCTGTAACCAGAGCAAGTCGAATATCAAATTAAGGTGTCAGCTTCACAATCCGACAGTGTGGAGCCTGAAACTTATGCCAGATATTCACTAGAGAGCTGTTGCTTAAAGTCGGGGAAGACTTATTCTACAAGAAATATGCCCACAGGTCCACCGCATGTATGAAATGTGGACGAGCCCTTTTTAGCCATTTTCCAGCAGGTTCGGTTTCACTTGTACCACTATATCAGACACAGGCCCGCATTCAGTGCACTAGTGACTAGTCGCTCCAATGGCATCGTCGTTAAGTGAGCATAGGTGGACACCTGTGCCACGGAAAACGCGTGCTGCTCGGAACTGTCTTGCAACCGCACCTGAATCGAGTGACGAGCTTCGAGTCTAAAGATGATCATAGCACCTCAGCCTCAAGCTCTCTTGGTGACAATGTTTTGTGTCAGCCTGGGACATCTGCAGCCGTTCAGACGTTGGTTTTGTTTACGGCCTGAAGCGGACTCCTGCACTGCCCGTGCATAGATGCTAACCCTTGTGCCCAATCCCAGACCTACTCTGGTTTGTGTGAGGTCCACTTCTTGCTGGGGCGCGATGTGCTGGTGCTGGCTGTACAGCCTCTCCTCAAGACGAGAAGGCCGCTGGACCATATCTCAGCCTCGTACTACAAAGCGGTGCAAGATGGTTTAGGACATTTTTTTTCTTTTCATTGCTATCTTTAAAAACAAAAATAGATGTGCTTAGATGCATACGTTGGAACGCCAACCTGTGCGGAGAGAGGTGGCTCATGGAAAAAGGTGATGCAGGACGATCTAGTGAAGTTCATTGCACATCTGATTTATTGAGGGATTTTTCACATTGCGGGCATCCATATATATAGGAACAGCTGCAGGCTCTTATAGTAAAGAATAAATAAATAATAAATGAATGAATAATGATGAAAAATGTGCAAGAGTGCAAAGTGTCTTACGAAAAATCAAGAAATGCTGCACCGGCATGGCATGGGCAATGAAGCGACACCTCGGTTCAGATTTTCGTTGTCTATGTTAATAAAAACAATGTGTAAAATGTTTACTATATTTTACACTCTTCCTGGATTGTTTACCTTCAAAATGCATATTCTGATTTTTTTTTTTGTTTTGAATGTTTTTGCATATATTAAGTGTTTTTATAGCACTGTTTACCAACCGGCAACCACAAAATACACACTTTTCACATTTTTATTCATCCCAAAGTATTTTGTTGCTCTACAAGATATGTTTTTTTTTTGGAAAGAGCATTTCATTGTGCATAATTTGATATGCTGCATTGGATTGTCTGCCTGTGTCACGGTAACAAAAGAGTTAAAGCTGTTTTGCCCATCATCTGGCTCACAGTTCCAAAAGTGCCTTTAAAAAGAGGTGGGTAACAAGCGAGTTAGTACACTAATTAAGAAAGAAGAGCTTCCTGGTCAGAATACTGATAACAACATTGGATGCAGGATTTAGCAGAACTCATTTTTCAGAACTCTAGCATGATTCAAGGTACACCGTAGCATCGGTTAATTTCAACCACAACTACCCATGGATGGGTCAATTTCAACCACAACATGTACCTAAATCTAAGTACACAAATGTTCCGAAATTTTGCCCTCGTCAAAATGTGGTCATCATTGCAGGAAATCGAATCCACATTCTTGAGCGGAATGGCTTGCTTACCCATTGCCTGCTAAGCTACCACGGCAGGTATGATAAGAAACTTTTGCGCATAGATTGCTTGCTCAGCTTACAATAATTTCCACTGAAAGAGTCATTATTTATGCATCACATTCGTGGCACGTTTACAATGTCATTCTTGTATTGTGGATGGTTCATCGTTGTGTTACAATCAGCATCACAGTGTACACAGCCATGGAAGGCTCTGTTTTGTACATGTCATGTTTGAGCGAAAGTGCTGATTAGCAATAGCTGTCAGAAATGCTGCCGTCACTGTGAGTTAATGCCGTTATTTTGCAGGATGACTCGTCAATAGAACCAGACTCGAGCATAGGACCAGCTCCTAAGGCAAGTCCGTATGGAGAGTGGCAAGCTGTCAAACCCAAGTAAGTTACATCAGCTCGTATATCTAGCAGCTGACTATAGGCCTTATGTGTAGATATCAGTAACTGAAAAATGTTTGAAGTTGACCGATAGGTAGGTCAGATGTCCATTTGCCGAAAGCATGGTTCAAAACAATACTTTAAAAAATGAAGAAAAGATCGAATACTGTCACAAGATATTGACCAAGTTTAACTGACGCTCTGCTTTGGTTATCAGTGCTCAATCTTTCCTAGTCAAATGTAAATCGAGCAGGGCAGAACGTAGATCCAATACACTGAACATTTGTGTAGTTACGTATGCAACGTAAGGGTTCGACAATTGGTTACGTTTCCACCACCATAGAACAGAAACTAGCAGTTTTATGTGAAGTTGTGGTTTTGCCTTTGTCTTGACAAGTTATTTTCGCTAAAAACTGAAGTGGCCTTGTGTACCTGCAAGCTATACTGTTCTCACTAGGCTTGTGCGATATTCAAATGCTTCAAATATTCGAACAAATATTACTGTATTTGAAATGAACGAATAAATATATATTAGTCCACATGTAACCTTTTGTAGCAGAGGTGCTTTCACTGTAGTGGAGGGGTGCTATGCCATGAAAGCACTTATCCTAAACATATTATAGTCGGTGACAACTTAAGAACAATTATAAGCTCCACCCACGAGGCCACATTGTCCTTATTTTCCATGCCTCGGCACTAAAAAGGAAGTGGTTTCGAAACAATGGCAATAATTTTCATGCATAAAGCATTATCTTGCAATATTTCACTGGTATTCAAATGAAGAAACCAAAGCTTGATAAGGAAACACGAGACTGCACGGAGTTCAGAATCAGCTTAGCAATATATCAGTTGTTTGAATCGCAACCCTCACCGCACCCATCTCAGAGTCCATGAAAGAACATAGTAGATCTCTCAAAGGCAACATTTCTGCGCAGTACCTACAATTATGGTGTAACTGTGGTGTTACTAGAACAAGCAATGTCCCATTTGACGTAATGTTTAAAATGAGGGATTCCTTTTTTTGTGATTTCACAAATGAAAGGGGGGCATTTATCACATTTCATTAGGTTGTTTGCAACTTTTGTTTTGCAAAACTTTTGCTGGCAGGTTTCTTCACTGTCTTCTGCAACTACGGCAACTGTGACCCATAGCGAACAATAGAGAAGTGATGTGAGATTAACTTCGTGAATTTTTATTTTTGTGCTGCTGTAAGTACCGAATGATGTCTCGCGTTGCCGTGCTTGTCATTGTGTTTGAGGTAAATGCCAAAGTTTCATTCAACGTCTTGTTTCATCAAAATAAAAGCGCTTAGGGCACATTGTGTTTAACAGTGGGGATCATTGCATATGTTATCATTAAGGTAATGCTTAGGCGATGTACGTGGCTAAAGTGGCAGTTACTAAAAGATGTAGTCATTTTTTTTTTTGCTTAGGCAACTTGCATTTCATTGTTTTGCCATGATGCCGTCAGCCCTTGAATATTCAACTTTTTCAAAATGGGACTCATTTGTGCTAGAACAGGGGCCACTATTTTCTGTGATTGTGCCTGTGCGAAGGTGTGTCTGAGCAAGCAAAAGAGTTTTCTATTTACGGTAAATGCGAGTAAATTGCGTACCAGACTTTTCTTTCACAGATGAGCGCAACTTTCATGTTCTTTTTTATGGGGTTCTAATTTAATATAAACAAGTTATCACTATGTAATGCATGCACACAATACAACTGAAATGTCAAAAAAAAACATGTTAGACAAAAGTAAAACTTCTTATGAAGATACGGATAGGTATGACACGCCTTAAAAGTGAAATCTCTGTTTCTTTTGTTTTACTCAATACTAGATTTAGCGGCGTCGTTTCAGTAACGATAATGATCGATGCAACTGATCGTGATCTTTGCATCAACGACGATCGATCCAGTGTAATTCATAGCGCGCGTTGTTTCAGAGTTTGAAGAACCTCGATTGATATGTGGGGTTTAACGTCCCAAAACCACCATATGAATATGAGAGATGCCGTAGTGGAGTGCTCCGGAAATTTAGAGCACCTGGGGTTCTTTAACATGCACCCAAATCTGAACACACGGGCCTACAACATTGCTGCCTCCATCGGAAATGCAGCCGCTGCAGCCGGGATTCGATCCCGTGACCAGCAGGTCAGCAGCCGAGTACCTTAGTCACTAGACCACCGCGGCGGGGGGGTGTGAAGAACCTCGCACAGTGTTTTTCATGCAGGCGTTCATGCATCGAGCATGAGACAAGCGCCTACGCGACGGGCACTTCGATTTGGCACATAGTTCTGAGCCGGTGAAAATCAATTCCATTAAGATGACGCAGCTGCGCTAATCAATGCATGTCAAATTAATTACAGCCACACACCAGGTGACCACAATGCACTTTATGATGCATACACCACTGCATATTCTCCCCACATGGTTTGTTTACTTCCATACTGTGTCGTGCTAGAAGGTTTTGTTGGTTGCTTTGTCTCATGCTTCGTCCACACTTACATCACTAATATGGGCGCACAGCACAGTGCATATTGCAAAAAATTACCAAGATTCCCATGTTGCGACACCCAAGTAGCACACTCACATCCACATGTGGCAATGCTTTCGTGGGCGGTTAATCACAGATGCACACATTCCTCAAAACACAGGGCGCACATTCAGACTTCACCTTCACCTTACTACACATAAATGACCGCGATGATAATCGTTGAGAATGGTCACACTTAGGGGATAGATAGGTGCGTCCGGGTGACATCGAGAATAAACACAGTGTTGCTGCTTCACGCTGCTGAAATGATGAAACACAATGAAGCTGTATCTCTCCGGTGCACTTCAAACGCTGCAAAATCAGAAACATCAGCATTGAATGACGGCAGGCGAGGATGATGCCAAGTGCAAGGTGCGAAATAGCTTGTTGACGGAGAAAACGCCACAGAAAAATCTAATGGATGCCTGCCAGCCTCGGTGCAGTGGCACATTGCCTCTTATCGCGAACCGCGCTATGCTGAATTTGTCATTGGTTCATTGTAACTGTTATGTCATAGCAAAGAGCGGGTGTGATTGGACGCACGTAATACAAATGGACAGCAGTGCACTTTACTTTTTATTCTTAGCTTGTCACCAACTATAGTTGTTGCGTAATTCACTTGTAAAGGTGGTTTTGCTGCAGTAGAGGGGTGCTAAGCCATGCAAACACCTAATCAAGGAAAATTTGCACTGCTGCAAATCCCCACCTCAAGGTTAAATGAACATATTATCCTCTCATTGATTCAGCATTTTTATAGTTTAAAAGCTTGTTATGCCAGCTTATGTGCTCTTACAGTGTAAATGTTAAAATGTAACATATTTTATAGGTTATCATTTGCATTCTACCAAAAGTAAAATCCTGCTACTATTCAAAGTTGTTTCCACTTCTTTTGAATAAAAAAAATGGCATTCATACAGGCCTTGTTTAAATAAAAAAGAAAATTGTGTAGGTTAGTAGGGTCATGACAAATGTGCCCATTTTCTTCATAATATGCCATACTGTTTCAATTGGATTTGAAATTATTCAACCAAAATCACTATTCGCATAAGCCTACCGTAAAATGCTAAGAAAGCGTCCCCCCTTTTTTGGGAGATCTGAAATAAGCACCCAGTGCCCGAACAAGCTCCCCCCCCCCTTCTCCTGCAGCCACTTTTTTTTTTTTTTTTTTTTCAAGATGAGCATTGCTTATGTGGAAAAAACCACAAACATGAGTACATTGAATGCATATCTAATGTTGTTTACGAAATACTCTAATAAAAAGCATTTCATTAGAAACATGGATGGGCGTTTTGTATATTTAGTCGCTCTCATACCGCCATCTTGAATTTCGGTTTGGGACCAAGCAAGCAGCCCCCCTAAAAATCTGGTCCAATTGTCTTTCACCGAGGTAGGGACTTGCGCAGCATTTTACGGTAGTTCTCAAAGCGTGTTGGAAGTTACTCCAGGATTTCCTCCAGGACTGCCTCTATCTTAACAAGCATGCTGCAGTTGCATGAAGTGTTGTTCAGAGATTATTCACAACCACCACACACCCTTTTTATTTAACGCATGTGTGAATTTTCAACATGTTACTTTAACTTCCAGGCAGGCACCGAAGATAGATTTGCAACTTCCGCAAAAGTCTGAAGGCATTGAAGAGGTTGTCATTAGTGTACCAAGCGACGCTCCCAAAAGGATGAAGTTTGCGGAAAAGACTGTGGGTAGCCTTGAATCCGAGGAAGGTGAAGATGCAAGTTCTGTATTCAAAAAGCGCAAGCTTGGTTCTCACGGCAAAAGGAATGTGAGGCAGCGAACCGATGATGACTAGATCAACCGCATGTGCCGGTGCTGTGCTTTGTATGTAAATAAATGTAAATAGATTGCACATTTCATATTGCCTCTTGCTTCTTACATTTCTGTCTAAAAAAATTTTTCATTTCTGAAACTCTGTTCTACCAATATAAATCAATGCTACCAAAAAAACAACATGTGGCTGTTCTGTGCCAACACACATTTTTTTCAGCCTGACAAGTTCATTTAATTTTTTTTTTTCTGCTAAAACATATCCCTAAGTCTAAATTGTCACCAGCATTATTTCATTTCTAAGATGGATTAGGACAGAAACATTACTTGCAGGTGAACACTGTTTAGTATTGTGAGAAGTTTCGCAAATTACATTTTTGTTTAGAAATATCCATTTTACATTTACGAGGTGCATATATACTATCAGCATAGCCACAACCACTACGTTGTCCTGGTATGGACGGCACACAAGGTAGCCAAAATTTTATTTCACGAGGGGTCTAACCCTCTGCATGAACAAGTTAAACCACCTGGGGTCCTTCAATATGCACCTAAATTAAAAAGTACCCCAGTGTTTTTTAATCTAAATGTGGCTGCTGTGGTTGAGGATCAAAGTCCCCTTGAAACTCAAGCAGCCCCACACCAATGCTGCGAAGCCACCCCAGCAGGTCTCCTTTTCAAGACAAACGCAGTGGAGTAATGCAGTCTAAACCCTTTGTTGAACTGCGGGAACGTTGCACATTTCAAGTTCTTTACACTTAAGCTCTGTAACAGAGCTCCAACTATCATATACTGGCCACCATAAAAAGATATATCTAGCAATTAAATTGTCTGTGGCACACTACAGTAACTACTTCAAAATAACCAAGGACTAGGTTTCCTGTTTATAATAAAGAAAATGTGTTTTCCAAAAAGCAATACAATTGGCCTGTTGCAGGCTAGGCTTAGCATAGTGGAATCATGTTGACTATTCAGTCTGTACTGACCTTATTTTTTTGATAATGCTAACACGAAAGATCTCACTGCTAAGGAAACACTTCAATTATTTTGAAGATTGCCAGTAAACTCTGACAGTGATAATGAGGAGTTTGAGGGCACTGAAGGCAAAGTATGAATAATACCATCAACTTTGTTCAGAGAACAATAGTGGCATCAATAAACGACCTTCCAACAGGTTGCTTGATCTAGTGAAGACTAGGTGCAGCCTGTGCAAAGAACAAGATGCCATTCCAAAACATGACTCAGAAGAGCTCCAATTGGATACGTTGCACAATGTCCCAAAGATATAGTCAAACAAATATAACCCTTGGAGCGTCCACTAAGCATCTTGATTGTGTGGTGTTGGACCATGTTGTCAAGCAAATGAACTTTTACGTACACATGCCAAAAAAGACATGTTAGCACACTGCTAACATGAACCTTAATTGGGGTGCTTTTCCTTATGAGAGTCTAGCATGAATCAGCTTCAAATTTACTGGTATTCAGACAGATTTTTCTGTCAAAGAAATCGCCCAAATTATGGCATATAAACAATTAAAGCTTCGTGTGTGCGCTCGTAGCTCTCTCTCTGGCCTTTGCTTGGGCCGGTCATGTCTCCGGCAAAGGCGCGTCTGCACACCTAGTTTGGTCACACCTGTAAATATGTAAATAAACCGTGTGTTCTTTGTGTGAGCAAGAAGCCTCCCAAGAGTTCTTCCTTCCCTGGTGCCTGGGTTGCTGCCTGTGCCCCGCTCCTCAAACTCGTAAACTGGTTGGCAGGGGCGGGATTTGGTGGGATCCAGTTTGCGTTCTTTCCTGATATGGATGCTGGTGAGCACTCACTTTCCGTAGAGAATCTGCCAGGTGTTTTTGGATAGATGGTGATGTTTAGCCTAAGGGGTAGATAGGTTGCTGCTTTGTGAAGGCATTGTTTGTTAGAGGTACCTTCACAGCAGTTAGAGCCACGGAAGTCTGCACGGGGTGATCATGGGCTTGAACAGGTTGAGGAAAGCAGATTTAGTGCTCTTGTGCAACGAGTTGGTTATTGACATGGGGATGATACATATGCAGCCACATTTGATACAGGTGATTAAGGGGGCAGGCTGCTCTTAGACTTTTTTTTATTTCATCAGTGATCTTGATCAGACTGCACAGGATTATGCAGTTTTTTCTGCTGAATTCAAATATTTAATTAGTTTTCCGGTGACTCAACTTGTTTCTGAGATAACTTAAGCTCACCCCTATTGTTTAAGGCCACCATAGATAAAAAAGTGCTTAATTAAAAGTGATATTTAAGGAAAGCCAACATAGACTAATGACTATAGATTAAAAGTATGCAAGAGTTTTTTGCTCTTAGGTCTTCCTTTGTTATTTTACAGTAAAATGAACTATCTATTTTCGAAAACAGTTGGAATTGTTACAATTTTGATGAGTAATTAATTAAAAAAGGCTTCGGCTCTAAATTCTGCTCCCATACTTGCATTCTACACACATACAGGTTTTCATTGCAAAAAGAATTATTGTTGTACCAGCCCTAGCTGCAGAGATATTGAGGCCTCTAAATTGAACTGTTGTAAAGTTACTTTTTTGAGAAAAATGGAAAAAAATGAAAACACACAGCTTCTTCAAAAAGCAACAGTCATGGTGCCCATGCCTTGCAATCCTCATAAAGGTGCTCATGAATTCGTAGCAGAGCTTCTAACACAGGTGCAAGCAAATGATAAAGAAGCCTCGAAGTCGGTTCTCCAATTTTTTGCAGATTCTGCATGTTAACAGCAACAAGAATCTGGACAGTTAGAATGACATTACAAAAAAATTGCCACTTCCTGGTGTGTGAAAATTTGCAGAGAGATAGAAAAATACTTGCAAAAACCAAACATGTCAATTAAAAAAATATATATATTTTTTTTCATTCTTGGTCCCAAAGACCAGTCTGCCCCCTTAAGGATTCTGGCACGGATGAGGAGAGGCTTTGCGATTGTTGGGATCTCACACAGGCTATGCGTAAAAAGGAAGCTGCAGCTCATTAAAGGGAAATGAAAGGATTGAGGCTCGAGCTTCGGATTGTCCTGGCAAAACGTGCCGGTGGTCATAGTGCAGTAAATGCAGAGATTCATGATAGACCAGGCACGATAAACATGGATGCGCGAGGTTGAGATAGTGACAGCGTCTTGTCACCAGTCCGGGAAAGCAGGCGTCCTTATCTTGGCCACCAACCAGGGGAATGACTCACTCGTAAAGAAAAATTTGGCTTCTCAGCGTAAATGCGATATCTTCGAGTGAGCAGGGAAAGAGTGTGCGAGTACTCGTGAAAGCAGGAAGTGTTGAGTCAAAGGTGCTGTCGCCTGTATATAGTGATAGATGGCAAAAATGGAGAGGTCATTTGTGAGAACAGCAATAACAGAGCATTAAATAGTGTCATGGAAAATAATGGATTGCAAATCCACGGCCTTTTAAGTGACGTAGACTCTGGCCCATTCTCGGTGGTGTCTGAGGTTGCAGTGCACACTTCCTCGAAGATCATGTATATGCTAGATTTTTAGCCAAAAGAAAGTTTGCGCGCAGGTCAGGGTCGTTTTGGACGCTCCTGTCTGCATGCGACCGGAGGGGAATCCTTCAGTTTCAATCATCAGGTTTCTGCCTCAGGGATAAAGCTTCGGTGAAGTTTCCGGTGTTTTCGTGCGGATTTCCAGTAAAAGAATCTGCTTCAAAGGGGCATTTTGTCTAGGGTCTGTTCAGCACGTGAAGGGATTCCGTTGCATGGTTTGGGACGCGAGCGCCTAAGCGTCAAGTTATTCAAGTGGTTACCACCATAGTGCAGGCTTTCATTGTGCTAAAAAATAAAGTAGCCATGTAACTTACACCTGGTGGATCTCTGGAGAGCTCAGCGTTGGTATTGGGTAGAGTGCGTCCCTTCCCACCAGGCTAAACAGAAATCCAGCTATGCCTACCGGTCCAAAAGCATGGCGAGGTGGACAGGAACTAGCCTCAGTGGAATGCGGACTTTTTCAGCGCTGCATTCTACCTTTGACGAGGGAACAACCAGGCAGCGGTGACCGGGTTGCAGCAGCTGTGGAGCTGCCTGCTGGTACCAAGCGAGCGTGGGTGTGCTGTGGATTGTGACGCCACAATCCACAGCACACCCACGCCCGCTTGGTACCTACGGTGCGATCTGCTGTGTGATGTGCATGCATGTTTTGTGGTGAATCAGCGTGGCACGGACGAAGACCCACAACAGCCACTTCAGAGAGCAGCGCCACTGCAGCTCTTACATGACCTCTTCAGGTGGCGGACGGGCTGTTATAACTGGCAGTGCATGGACCCGACGTGCCTTCCAAACACAGTCCGCGTCCTAGGAACGCAAGAGATGTCCACGTGCACTGCAGGGAACACGCATTGGCGTCCCTGGAACATGCAGTCTGTGTTTGACAAGAAGCGCATGCACGGACCTAGCATATAAGAAGGGTGTCTTGTGTGCGCTCGTAGCTCTCCGGCCTTCGCTTAAGCCGGTCATGTCTCATGTAAAAGCACATCTGCATATCTAGTTTGGTCACACCTGTATATATGTAAATGAATCGTAAGTTATTTGTGTGTGCAAGGAGGCTCCCAAGAGTTCTTCCTTCCCCGGCGCCTGAGAATGAAATTACAGCGTGTGACACTTTGTAACTCGGCTCGTACTACATGGACTAAAATTTTTTGCAGTGGTGAATTCGTGAGGCAATAAACTCCTGAATATAATCCATTCCATAGTGTTGCAGGGCCCCTTAAGGTAGATGCTTGTAGATTGTGCAGCATTGGCACGCATGCGCTTCCGCTAATGATGAATAAACGCATTCCAGACTACACATTCTCTTTCTGCTGTCGTAGCACAGCAGATGCAAGATACCCACTATATGCGATGATGACAATGATATTCACAGACAATGACTAGCTTGTGGAGTAGATGACATCTCTATATGCTCTTTGATGCATTTCGTATGACTGGAAATAACCAATGACCACTAGGGCAATGTGTGCAGGCCTCGTTTTAGCTAACTTCTGGCTAGATCCGGCATCGCAAAGCAGTAATAATGATGGCAAAATGAACTTACAAACTCAGCACGACATACCACTTATGACCAATAAACATTGTATAGTATAACTGTACACCGCTTTGTCACTCACCGACATGAGTGAGTGGTCACTGTCACTGGTGACTTACAGCGACACCGAACGATCCCACTGCTTCGCCCACTCATCATTCACTTCGTGGATATGCCCCGATTTTTTTTCTATGATTGTGAATTGATTGACAGCTCACTTACATATGTTGATTGTTTCCTTGTTACATAAAAAAAGGGTTCAAGCCCGTCCACTCTAGCAGCACTTCTCAACAGTGCGCATTTGTCCAGAGCCACTTGTCTCATAGTTTTCACCGTTTTGCCCCAGAAGTGTCTAAACGTGCATGCAAGCTTCACCAGTACAGCAATCCTGTGACATGTTTCAGTGTTGCAAACTTGGAGATTCTGTGTGTCCGAAATTATACTGGCAAGCGTGTGCAACAATAACCATAGAGGAAATACAGACGATATGGCGTGCTAATGTAGCCATGGCAACCATAAAGCTTCCTAAACATACCTGGAAGGGAATCTGATGCTGGGATCGTTCAGCGAACATGGGAATGATGGGTAGTAGTACACGGATCTGCCTACCTTTCATACTCGCAGGCCTCAATCGCACTTGTGCATTTGCCCATTGCTGCGTTTAGCTTTTGTTCCGAATTAAAGAACGAAGTGCTGTGAACTGCATGACCAAATTTGAAATGGTGAGCCTAAAAGGTTAAAGTAGGGAAGTGCAACTAACTGCTGAACATTTTCAGATTTTTGTTTCCTAACAAAGCAGCTCCAAGCCACGCAAAGTCAAACAAAACCGAAACTATGAAAATCCGTGTATAACCAATCATTCCCATGTTGGCTTAAGTGCCATGGGTTGTAGCTTCCATTCACACTAGCGCCAGAGTTCCTTCTAGTGTACTTATAGGAAACTATGATGGCAACTACTCTTCTGCCGCTGGTTGGCCTCGTCACAAAAAGTCCCAGATCTGTGTGAAACTTGACATATGTGAGCAAGACCATCTCTGAAGAGACCATTTACGTCCCGGGATTCCAGCCAACAAGTCTGAAATCCTGCATACATGTTCACTATGGTTATCGAGTGTATACACAGCAAAATATTTTGCTTGAGTCAAGCACAAAACAAATTCAAGGCAGAGACACATTGAAATATTTTACAAATATGCGAGTGCATAACTGCACTGCTATGCCCGGGAAGCAAGTTATAAATTTGGAGGTACGCACGTGAGCACCATAATGCACATTCCAGGTCAGTAGGTCTGGCTTCATTGCCACAATTGACAAAAACATCCAGTAAAACCTGTCAATGTTAGCAAAGACAAGTTTTAATACGGTCAGTCTTCACATTCGCAATTTAAGAGTGGTGCAAGGCTGTACTAGTTGGGACAGGTTTACGAGTGAACCGAACACTTTTATTGATGACATAGACGCAAGCACAATGAAAGATTGACGTTTCGTACTTTTAAACAATGCAGACACGACAGGGAGAATTTGTCTTCAGCAGGCGTTTGAAGGGAAAAAAAGTGAAGATGAGGTGGGGAACAAGCAGGCAAAGCATACTGAATAAGAAACTGAAATGATAGGACATACGGGAGGGGGGGGGGGGGGGGAAGAAGGCCATTTGACGAACTGTAACACTGTACATAAAGAGGATAAAAAATAAGACCTATGTCGCCTTCCTCAGCAGATATCAGAGGCAGGCTGCATGAAGTGCTTCGAGTTTGTTTACTCAATTATTTACAAAAAAAAAGACGAGTTGCCCTTCGCCCGATGCGGTTGTAACTCAGGCTGGCGAATGTCACACTGCTTTTCCTCTTTGCGTGCTGCAACCACCCGTCTGCTGTTGGAAAACGTCAATTGTGTCATCATCCTCCATGTCGAGGCCTGCAGGGGTATCAGTTTCATTGATCGGCTGGCCGTCAAATCGGAACCTAACATTCTGGATGCTCAGGCCCTGCAGAGATCGCCACATAGTTGGAAGCGGTTGGTCAGTGAAGAAGAGGATTATATTATCACACACACACAAACAAACACACACATACACGCAGTCGAACAGACAAGTATTGTGGATGACAAGTATTGACAAGTATTATGAACAGAATGCCATACTTACAGCAAGCCGAGTGTAAGAAATCAAGAGCGGCGCTTCGGCGCGAGCTCGGTTATCAGGACAAAATGAAGTCAGAATAAGGACAGCCGGCCTGCAGCAAGGTGCTGTCTCATACATCTCGTTTTCACTACGCACACACACATATGAAGAAAGGAGGTGTATACTCAAGGGCTCGTTTTAGGGGCGAAGCTCTTTATAGCGCCACCTGTTCGTCCCTCGTAGCCGTAGTAGTAGTAGTGTGTAACCGGTATTACATTTTGACCTCCAAGGTGGTGCCGGTGAGAGATTTCTTCTGTGCGTTGTTGAACAATAAAAGATAGTGCTCAATGTATATACCAATGGCTGCTAAGGGAGAATGAGAGACAGGAGAATTCGGCTTTTAGTTAACGTGCATGCAGCAAATTTTTTATTGTTCAACAACGCACAGAAGACAAGAAAGGGTTGCTACGTTATACTCGCTGGGCGTAACCTCTTAGGTTTTAGAAAGGTTTAGCGAGCGTTGGGCCGCAGTGCCATGAATACAGTGAACTAGTATATAGCATGAACTCGAGGTAGTTAAAGGTGGGAAGTAGACACGAAGCGCAAGCCGTAAGGAAGTGTGCGTGTGCCTCCTCTCGTTCAGTCCTTGGAATGTCCGCTGGATGGCGGTGCTTCTATATGAGGAATATATGATGAAAAGATGCAAGATGGTGATACTTGGAGTGTTAAATGGGTGGACGAACGGACACACAGACAGATGCATGGACGGACGCACGGACGGGCGGAAGCAAGAACGAATGGATGGACGGATGCTTCGCCCCAATAGCCATCATTCACTCCGTGGATATGCTGCCATTTTTTTTTCTTGTTAGACACAATATTATTGAAATCTAACGGACAGTATTGCAAGAAAAGCATAGGGGAAGTTATTAGACCTAATAACTTCACCTATACTTTCCTTGCATTATTGTCTCTGTGACCTCATATATATTATCACGTCCACGAGAGGTGTGTATTCAGAGGCGGCGTAACGGGAAGTTAAATTGCTGATACGGTCTATAACAAGAAAAAATCCCTCACAGTGTTCCAGCAGTTTCTCACATAACCCGCGTTTTCTAGTTGGTGTCCACTGCCACACTAGAAGGTTGCAGCGATTGTACGTTACGTGCCTGCATCGGTGGTCAAAATGTGCCTTCGAGCAGTCTTGAGAAGCAAGAGTGAGCTTAGAGCGGACAATCTCAGATATGCAGGGATTATGGCGTTTCAAACACGGGAAGATGGTATCAAGGGCATGTACGAGGCGGCCGAGCATATAAAGAAAAAAAGGTCTGTGGCTGGTAGTAGCATGCTGTACGGTGTTAAATGCATAAGTGATGAAAGGTAGAATGCTGTCCCAGTTTTTGTGATCTTATGTGACATACATAGACAGCATGTTCGTGAGAGTCCTGTTAGTTTGTTCAGTTATACCGTTTGCTTGGCGATGATATGGTGTAGAATGCCGAAACCTTGAAGCGCAGACCTGAGGCATCTCTCCCACCACATTTGCAGTGAATTGTCGCCCATGGTCACTGATTACAATTGAGGGAGGTCCGTGTCGTAAAATCACAAAACGTAACATGAAGACAGACACATCAGCTGCAGTTGCCAATGGTAAGGCAGCTGTCTCGCAGTACCGTGTTAAATGATCGGTGCACACAACTATCTAGCGATTTCTATCGGAAGACCGAGGAAAGGGCACAAGAAGGTTAATCCCGACTTCCTCGAATGGAATTCTAGGGGGCAACACCGGATGTAATCGCCCCGCAATAGCACTTGTTGGGCGCTTGCGACGTTGACACTCGTTGCGGCTAGACACGTAGTGTTCCGTCGTCTGGTGCATTTTGGGCAGTAGAGCCTTTCTTGAAGGCGGCAGAGTTTTCGCTGTGCCAAGATGACTGGATGTTGGGTCATCATGCATAGCCTGTAAGACAAATGCGAAGACTCTTCGGAAGCACCAGGAGATACCGTGAGCTGGTGCTCGTGTAATTCTTTTTGTAAACTAGCCCGTCTCGAATTCATAAGCGCGTATGTGATGATTTTGGTTTGGTAGCAAGAAGTTGCTGTATGGTGCCGTCCCTTTATTGCTCATTCTTAAGGTGTAGGTATTGGGTTTGTAAACTAGCCCGTCTCGAATGCAGAAGTGCGTAGGCGATGATTTTGGTTTGGTAGCAAGGAGTTGCTGTATGGTGCTGTCCCTTTGTTGCTAATTCTTAAAGTCTTTGTTTCGGGAAATGGTTGGTCCTGTGATGCGATGTAGATGTCGAAGTTGTCCGCGTCACAATCGGTCTTGGGAAGCGGTAGTTGCGAAAGACAATCTGCGTCAGCGTGAAGTCATATTCTTGTAGACGAAATGCCCAACACGCAAGCCGACCAGATAGGTCACGAAGATCGACCAACCAGCAGAGAGAATGATGGTCTGTCAAGATGGTAAAGGGGCGTCTGTACAATACAAGTAGGACCGGAAACACTGCTCAACGAAGACTACTGCAAAGCATTTTTGCTCTTTGACGGTATAGTTTGGCTCGGACTTGCCGAGCGAGCGACTTGCGTATGCTACGACATGTTCTTTATTATCCAAACGTTGACCCAGGACAGCATTTACACCAATACTGCTAGCATCAGTGTGAAGTTCTGTGGGAGCCAGAGAATTTAAGTGTTGGAGAATCGGATGGGACGTCAAAAAAAAAAAACTTCAACTCAGAAAATATGGACCCCCGTCAGGGCAAAGCACGTTTGCCCGGAGGTTTACACCACTGATGTATGCCAACACTGCAAGAAGGCGCGAGCCACCCAAAGACACCTCCTTTGGGACTGTGCACCACCGCCGGGTAACCAAGAAGTAATGCCAAATGCCATAAGCAGCAAAATCATCAGCCGAGAGCCAGGCAATCAAAGAGACGTGGTCCAGCACGTGCTTAGCATCCTGGAACGCCAGCGGCCGAAAGTGGCGCCCCCACGGGTTTGACGCGAGTAGGTTGCTGCTCCGAGACGTCCGAGCACGCTAGTGTCTCGCTTTAATCCCCCTACCCCTTCCCCCTTTATGCCGGATCGTCAATAAAGTTGTTTCACTCACTCACTCAACTCAGAAAAAGGGGACTCACATTCCGGGGTCCAGTCAAACAGCACCCCTTTCTGAAGCAGGCACATGAGCGGGCATGCGATATTGTCACAAGGATACAGAGACGCAGGCACAAAACAGGGTGTTTACTTTCGTAACTAAAGGCCAAAAGCACGAACACCAGAGCACGCGCCCACAGCACTACTTTGTTATACTCCTCAGAGGCTGGTCACTATAGTTGCCAGCCTACCTTGTGTCAATTTCCCCCTTCCAAGATCGACCGTCTCGGTCGATTGACTAAGATGCTAGAGATGGCCATGGAAAAAGATGGTCACGTCAACAAAAAAATAATAATAAATAATAACCTCGCACCTTTATGGAAATGAAGAAAAATGTTTGAAGTGTTCATAACTCGTGGGCGTGGTACAGTTTCATCCATACATGGACTACTTCTGGACGTGGACGTCGTGTTTAAACTGGTATCAGAGATTGAAGCTTTCGGGAACTACCTCGTAATTCACGTCACTGAGGCAGTGCACAACTTTGTAAGGGCCAAAGTAGCGATGCAATAGCATCTCCGAAAGCCCTTGATGTCGAACTGGTGTCCACACCCATACATAGTCACCTGGTTGATAATGGACGTTCCTTGGCCTTGGTTGTAATGGAGAGCATCGGTATCCTGCGTGCGAATGCGGTTCCGTGCAAGCTGGCAGGTTTCCCCGGCATTCTCAACGAAGCCGTCAACGCTGTCATTTCCGCTGGTGTCCTGGTCTACGGGGAGCATAGCGTCTAATGGTGTTGTGATGCGACGGCCATAAACAAGCTCGAATGGTGTTCGTTTGGGGATAAGCTGTTGTTTTCCGGTGGTTGGTGTGCGTCAGCTTGGCGACCTGTGGCAATAACTCTGCCGTAAATGCTGCTTCGCGATCGGCTATGAGAACAGCACGTGCACCATGACGCAAAACAATGTCGCGGACGAAGGATCTGGCGACTTCAACTGCAGTTCCCCCACGCACAGCTTTGGTTTCTGCATAGAAAGTCAGATAGTCCGTTGCAACAATTATCCACTTATTTTCTGATGATGACGAAGGTAATGGACTAAGAAGAGCCATTCCCACTTGCTGACACGGTGCTGGAGGTGGATCTAAAGGCTGGAGGAAGCCGGCGGGCTTTGCGGGTGGAGCTTAACGCCTCTGGCAGTCACGGCAGGTGCGGACATAGTGCTGAACGGACGAATACACCTGTGGCCAGTAGTACTTTTGTCGGATGTGCGCTAATGTCCTAGCAAAGCCTAAGTGACTGGCAGAAGGATCGTCTTCGCATGCCTGCAGAACTTTCTCACGCAGTGCCGTCGGAACGGCGAGGAGATAAGTTTCCTGGTTGCTCTCAAGATTTCTCTTGTAGAGAACACTGTTCTGCAGGCAATACGATGTTAATCCACGTGAGAGCCAGGGTGGGACCATAACGTGTTCTCCTTGAAGACGCTGGATGACAGGAACTAGCTCAGCGTCCTCCCGTTGAAGTTCAGCCATCCGCACCACATTGACGATGCCAAGAAACGGTAAATCTTGTTCAGTATCAGATGACGTCAGGAAAATAGTAGCACGAGACAGGCAGTCAGTATCTGTATGCTTGTCCTGATCGGAAGACCACCGTTACGTCGTACTCTTGAAGGCGGAGGCTCCAGCGGGCGAGGCGGCCTGATGGAACCCGTAGATTGGCAAGCCAACAGAGTGAATGGTGGTCACTGACCACTCGAAATGGCCGG